TCAAGGCATTTCTGTGGTGAATGGGAGTGACACTTGTGCTCGAGGGGTTCCACTACCCGAGCTATCGATTTCAGGATTAATCGAGCCCGAATTCCAAGAAAAAAACGTCAATTATTTCGTGGGTGCTATGAGAGCTAGGGTTGATAACCCTTTTATGCCGAATGGCTCGGTGGTTCAGTGGATTGCTCGTCAGAGAGGCAGAAAGAAAGAGAGAGAGATAAGTCTTTATCTGGCCAACACAAAACGAACAGTGCTTGACTATATGAGTACGAATGTTTGGGTTGCTACAATTGTATGCCCGCCCCTGACAGTTGGGGTCGAAGGGGCATCATCGGCGACGATTATAAATGATGGTCACAGGAAAATATTGTCCTTAGAAAGCGAATCGACGGGGCGCGTCAGTGTGATGCGAATTTCGGAGCGGTGCCAGCAGATTTTCCAAAAGTCTCTCGCTCTGCTTGCTTCGTCTGGCAAGAACTGTAGGGAAACTAGCTGGCGTCGCGCCAAAATTCATACCGCTCAGACACGCCCGTCGATTCAATTGTTAAGGAGTGCACGCACAACGTGGCTGCGCTGGTAGGACAAAAAGGAAAGAAAATTTAACACTGGAAATATAAATACCTTGTTGTGCAGCTGACACATCCATAACGCAAATTCACTGCGACTACCAAGTTTTGGAGGCTCCTCCTTTAAATTTCTCCGCAAATCTCTCGCACAATAATCACATGGGTATGTCTGAAAATTAAAAGAAAGGAGTTTAAAAATGGTGTTAGAACAACCAAATCTCTTTGAAAGTTTCCAACTGTTGGCTCACCTTCGATAGACTGTCCATAAATACGGAAACGGTCTGTTTTTGAGCATCTGTTGGTTTTTCTGGATAGTTAACGCTCATCGTATGCAAAAGATTCCATGTGGATCGACCTTAAGTGGCACTTTGAATTGAAAACACTCCAAAACAAAATAGTGACATGTCTTGTTTGAAGTATAAGGACGTCCGTTGGAGCGCGTTCATACTTTTCGTAGAGGCATGGAGCGTTGAAATGCCAGCTCTTCAGCGAAAAGGAATTTTTAGGTATCGACCGAGCGTTTCGAGCGTTTAGGCGGAACGCTAGCGTTAACGCTGGAT